AAGTATGATAATAATGTATTTTGCAAATGCCAACCAGAATCTTCAACTTTAAACTTGAGCCTTGCAGGTATCAATGTTAAGTACTTAACCAGTACAAATGTTAAGTACTTAACCAGTACATCACCCTCATGAAATTACAAATTGTTTCACTTTTGATAAACCCCAATGTTGAAAGTGTTTTCCATAAAGTGTCGAAGCATATGGCACTCTAGGAGCTTGAGGTCCACATCGGAGAGACTCATTTTCGAGTGAGAAGATGCATACTTTCTTTCATCATCAAAAAATGCATGAAAAACACATACAACATACTTGTATGGTTCCATACTTTCGATAGACCCCCAATGTCAATAAAGCATCGAAGCATACAGTGCTCTAAAAGCTCGAGGTCCACGTCTCAAAGACTCTTTTCTAGTTAGAAGACGCAGTTCCTCGTATTGTCCTCAAAATAAGCATGAGAACACATACAACGTATTGTTTCCTTGGAGTTCTAGAAACTCAAAGAAACTAGACACCTAAGGAAGCTCGACTTTAGTTTTATAGTTGTGGAGAGCTATGTTAAAAGGCATTCAAGACACCGTGACCATTGTTAAGGGAGGGCTATCAAAGTCATCGATCCGAATAATATGGGAGCCCTGGATAATTCAAGCTTATATATAACATAAAACTTCGAATCTTTTCTTGCTTAAAACTTCTTGCGTGGTCTCAAGTGGATTGGTGTGTGATTCCTAAAAGGTAGGAATCTCTATTCCAAACTGATGGGACAACGATTCCAACAAAATAGGAATAGGAATGATGATTCCTATTTTATCGAATCCTGATTTTAAATGGCATTTATCAGAGATGATGGATGTGCGATTCCAAAAAGACAGAAAACTCGACTGCAAATTGATGGGATACCGATTCCAACAATATAGGACACACGATTTCATTGAATCGCAATTCTGATATAATAGGAATCACACAACAAGTAATTTACATTGTACGAATGACGATTCCGACTATAGGAATTATCAGACACCTGCGATTTCGCGATTCTGATTCCCAGAACGATTTGGAATAATAGACGTTTCCAACAACTATACTTCGAACCAAATTACTTTACAAACAACAAGGGCATCTATTCAACTTGTGCACTTGACCTCACTGTCACAATCACTCTTCCATATAACACTAGACCCTGCTGTCGCAATTTTCTCTCTCTTCCAAATGTTACCAGATTGCCTCCAACCATTGTACAATAGAACAATAGAGATCTCCTAACCAGTGGGAAACTTGTCCAATCTGCATCTGAGAAGCCTTTGACTAAACAGTGTTATTGATTTAGAAAGGACGCCTTCCCCTAAAGATAATTTCAAAAGTATCAAGGTTACTATGCTTAAGTGACTTAAACAAAGTGCACACAGCAATGGCTACCAACATTCACAGCATATCAACTATGAAAATTACCAACTAATCTTTTGCATCCCAAGGTCTATCACAAGTGGCTCAACAACCAACGCATCAAATGAAAAGTAAGATTCAATGGATAAATCACAAAGCTTCCCTGCTACTCTTTGGATCCTTCAGCAAGTCCGTGAAATACTTCCTTTTTAAAATGAAAATACCTTTGAAGCAAGGGTATTGAGTATTTGAGATGTAGGCCATATGAAAAAGGTCTCCAAATTAAGTGGTTACAGAGATAAGCTGCAGGGTAATGGAGGGCAAAGGGGCAAAGTCTTGTAGAACAAAATATGCAACACAGGGAACAGAGATTTGGCATCGTAAGTATAAGAGACAATCTAATGTTTAGAAGGCTATCTGCAAAAATTAATTACTGTCTTTGAAGGACAAGAACAGAATACTTGCTGGGATGAACATAGATGTTGACTTGTTAAATAAAGATAGGATTCCCAGGATTTGAGCTGAGTCGGAACCCTGAATAGGGTGCCAAGTGCAGAAGAACGCTTTACACCATTGCAAAGATGATCAATTGGCCGCCTGAGTTATGGACTAACCTGTTTGACAAAGGATAGGAAACATAAAGTAAGTGCAGTGAAGCTTTTGCAGGAAACTTCACGTCAACCCAACAATTGGATGTCAACAGCAAATGGCTGGCGTGTGTTATTTTCACAGACTTTGGGCAGAGGAATGACACAGCTATCCCTTGTTGACATCTGAAGGCAAGGGATCACTAGAGGTTTCCTACAAGAACTTCATTACACTCATTAATTACATCACCATCTCTTCTTTCTATGAATGAATACTTTGCAATATCTCTTTCCCCATGACATGGGTATTGAGAAATGAACCACATATAAAGTTTTCTCACAGTTGAAGATCTTGACAATAGATCATTTAAAATATAGAAGGTTTTGTACAGCAAAATGTGCATCCTTACAAGGAGGAGATTGCTCCACACCACTCTTTACCAATGCACCCATTGTCAAGATATTTGGAGAACACGTTAAATATGATTGATTTCTCAGTGAGGATTCGTGTTTCCTATTATCTTCATTGCAGGCTGGCTCTAGCTTGATGGAAAAAGACAGTATCCACTGTGTTGGACTATTTCATGGTCACCATATGGAGAAACGGTAGGGAGCAAGAACATAGTATTCCGATAAACTAATCGACAGCAGCAGGTGGTCATTAAGATAACTAAGAGGGAAACCTTTCAATGAGAACTACAACACCACAGGATGGGGAGACCAGCACCAAGGCATTTCCAGTTGATCAAAGGAAATCAACCCACAATGGTAGACTTTTGCAATATAGTAACAGCCATATCCTGAAAGGCGAGGAACGCTGAAGGTAGGAGCAAATGCCTTAAAGCATGAGTTTGCATTTGCAAGTCAAGCTTGTCCAGGGCTTGCATAGTTGAGACCGACCACCTAAACATCATTCGATGGCGCAAAAATGGGGAATATGCCCACCACATACTATAGGGAACTATAAGATAAGAGAACAGAGCACCTGAGCAAGAACCTGTGGATTCTAGCACCTTTCTAGCCAAGCCAAAAGCCAAGCAGATGGTCTAGCCAATCAAGGATATGGAAAGGAACTTCCCAGGTCAGGGATTGCTTCCATGAGTTTGGGGTATCTATTTTGCATCTCCTCTATGTGTTGTCATTTTATTCTGCACAAAGTAGAGAAGCATTACAAATATCAAAGAATGAAATAAAATCACCAACCCCCCCACATAAGATCAAAAACTTCCAGATATTCCAAATCCGCTTACATCCACTAATCCACCAACATATCTCCCTCAGTATATCACTGACAGGACTTGGAATGGCATGCGAGAGAATAACAGCATCCATTTGGTGGGGCACAAGGATTCATACCCAAGCTGCCTTTAAAACATTGAGTGAATGCACATCTATAAATAAGTGGCTTAGAGCAACTTCAATATGAATCAAATTTTCCATTAGAGATCTTTTAAAGAAAATTTTCCTTAAGTGAGTCAATGCAGTTCACCTCTGGACAATTCAAGCAAAATCCAGATTTTTAAGCCTGCGAGAGTGCTCACAAACATACGTACCCACACACGCGCACACACACACAAAGAAAGGGCAAATAAATCTAAAGCTTTTCTTGAAATAGACTCTTTTGTAATCAATCAAATCGTGTGATGATATCGAGGAGTTCTGAAGTTCAGCTAGTAAATTTGTGAGAAGGAGACAGCCAGGACATGTGATAAGATCCACAAAAGATATAAAGTTCCACAAGAATATTGAGAAGCAGATAAAGTTGTAAGATTGGAATGTGATAAGATCCATTAAAGATGTAAACTTCTACAAGAATATTGAGAGGCAGATAAAGTTGCACTAATCATGCACGCCACTAACTAAAATCAGCAATTTAGCTTACCTTAATATATTATTTCAGTGATAATAGGTCTACATCAAGAGTCAGCATTGAGCCCCTACCTCTTTGTCTTAGTTATGGACGACTTAACTGGACACCTACAGGATGAGGTACCATGGTGCATGTTGTTCGCAGATGATAGTTTTGATTGATGAGACCCGAAACGGCGTCAACACAAAGTTAAAACTTTGGAGGGATGCTCTAGAATCCAAAAGTTTTAAAATTAGTCGGACTAAGACAAAGTATATGGAATGCAAGTTTAGTAATAATAGGAGTAGAGACAATGAAGTAGTTAAGATTGATGTTCAGGAAGTACAAAAAAGACCGCACTTTAGATATCTTAGGTCGATAATCCAAGAAAATAGAGAGATCAAAGAAGATATCGCACACAGAATTAGAGCTGGGTGGGCGAAGTGGAGATGTACAACTGGAATTTTATGTCATCGTCGCATACCAATGAGGCTGAAGGGCAAGTTCTATAAGACAACAGTGAGACCAGATTTGCTCGATGGGGCGGAATGTTGGGCGGATAAAAAACAATATACCCATAGAATGAGTGTAGCAAAGATGAGGATGTTGAGATGCATGAGTGGCAAAACAAGAAGGGATAGAATTCGAAATGAATCTATTCGAGATAATTTAGCCGCAGCAGCAATAGGAGATAAAATGAAAGAAATTAGACTTAGGTGGGCTGGCTATGTGTGGCGCCGACCAAGTACAGCACCTGTTAGGAGGTGCGAGTTAGTTCAAGTGAACGGACTAAAAAGAGCAAGAGGTAGGCCCAAAAGGACGTGATTGAAAGTAGTCCGAAAAGATATGGGAGGATATGGCCTTCATAGAGCAACATGGAGAACCAGGATTCATGTGGCCGACCCCAATTAATTGGGAAAAGGTTAAAATGATGATGATGATATCAAAAAATGATGTCCACATTTTCCATCTTACAAAGTACATGTATAGACATTTATGTATAGACATTCACCAAGAAAACATATTTCAGTAAGAAGCCAACACCTAAGAAAGAAGAGAATCTGCAATTGAATCACATAAATCTCGAAAGAATCCTTCTTTACATCATATTAAGCTAGCCACCTTAATAGAGGCTTCATTTTTGTAAACTTTAAGGGTGTTGTTGCTAAAGAAATTAACCTTACCTGGATAACATCCCTAATTTTTACTGACGAGGTATTTGCCCATTCAGGTAGCCCTTGGACTTGTAGAAGTCTAAATGTTAAAGGTAATTTATCTCTCTGAACATTGAACTGGCAAATGGCCTCCAAGCTATCAATAGATGCAGATTCTTTCTTCAGTTTTTTGTAACCAGATTGTCCAGAATTGACAGTTACCGATTTATTAACCGCCTCTGTGGAGAGTTTATTTGGTACCTCATCCTGCAATTAATTTAAGAGAACTTCAAAACAGCAAAGCATAGAGACAACAAAACTGGAAATTCATAATAAACCTCAAAAGGGTAACTTTAAACTGTAATACAAAATCAACTTTCGTTGTGAATCATTCTCCAAAAAAAAAGTAGCACGCTAGATGCAACAAAAGGGACCAAATTATATAATGGGACAATAGATCATTTACCAACATTACAAACAACAAAGCAACATTATTCATAAGAATTTGTAAGAAAATTAACAGCATTTGACATGACGAATCAAATTAAAACACAAACTTGGGATATAATCCGATTGGCATCAAAGCACTTAGAAATACAAATAAATGCACACGTGCATGTATACACTGTCTATAAGTGCATGTACATATATAAATAAATGCGCATGTATGCAAGCATGCAAAGATATAAAATGTTCATTCCACATATATGAACAATTACAAAGTAGCATAAATTAACAGGAGATAAGTGGAAACCATCTAAGCCTTCAAGAAAATGATTAGGGTATCATATAGTCAAAGTAAGCCGAAACAGAACTTATCGCTGCCCTCATTACTATGCAGATCTAACTTAGTCAAAAATTAATCAAATATTCCAAAGATGCAAACCCATGTCAATCATAGGGCATCTCTAGAAATCACCAACCCATGTCAACCATAAGGCATCTCTAGAAATCACCACCACTTCAAGAAGTCTGAAACAATTCCAATCAATCAACTCACTGCCGATCACCATAAACACGAGCTGAAGATTGTTTGTAGACATTGCAACCTGTGTATCTTAGAATCATTTCACGGGTGACAAGGTAGAGTAGGTGATCAAAATCCTTAAGAAAGAGACACAATGTGAAATGCAAAATTTGGCTGCCTTTCCCCCCCGTAAAGACTAAAGACAAGTTTTGGGGGCGTTGTGTCCCAGCCAGCAAAAAAAAGCTACCATTATTGATCCTTCTATGAGTAAACTTCAGAGTTGTTCTGACGTCTTGCATTCCGAAGCTTGTGGTCCAGCTCCCTCCTTATTGGAATTATGTCATGTTTATTGATGATTTCTCTTAAAGATGGATATATTTAGCAGGGGAATACGCCAATGTACATGTCATCCTTCAGGCCCCCAACAACATGATTGAAACTCAATTTAGAGTTTTATCAGACTCACTGGGAGACCATATGTCAAATAACCCCTAAAGGTAATGCCCCGGAAAAGAAATTGTCCACTGGAAAGTTGCCTCTACATACTGCAAACAAAATGGCAACGTCAAAGAAAGAATAGTTATGCATAAGAAACTTCTATCTGCTCCTTTTTGTTGCACTTGTGCATACCACATGATTTTTTGGAAAGGTTGCATCTAGCGTTGTTTGCCTAACGTTTTGGTCAACTCCCTGACTTACTAATAATACCTCAATAGTTGACGTCTCTATTGGAAAAATATTGGGTTCACCTCCTTTGTTTTATTGTCATCCGCACTGAAAATAGTTAGGCAATCCATAAACAGTGTACTCCTAGGTTGTTTAGGAACCAAAAGGGGAACTCTATTGATTAGATCCATTAATAATAAATTATATGTATCCAAGAATGTCATCTTATATCCAGTACAAATAGTAAATAAATAATTCCAATGGTGACCATGAAACCACCCTGTCACATACAGTGATTCTTCAATCCTTGAGAGGCCGTGAAGAAAAGGTAAGTCAATGTAAACTTCAACGATGATCAAGCTACAATTTTAAATATTCCCATACGCTGCAAGTTTGCATTCGTCCACACTCCATCATCTGTCACAAACGACTCAGCAACATGGGGAGTAAATTTTTGCACAGATTATTCATTAACGAATGTTTCAAACTCGAGTGAAATTTTAGAACATTGTTCTTCAAGAACTTTCCTACCACCGTGCCATATTCTGTAACATATTTATGACTCATCATGGTCTTTCTTGATTCTGTTCATAAGACCAAAATGTAAAACAAAGCTCCTACTTAACCCTATTGCCATTTTGTTCACGAGACCAGATCTTACAAAGAAGTGTCCACCCTGTCCGCTTTCACAAAAGGATATGGATAAAGAGCTTGCTGCACAGCATCATAACAAAAATCTGGACTTGGTAACAAGGATCATATTTCATAGACTTCAAACCCTGGCTGCTATCAGTATAATCAAAAAAAACAACAGCAACACAGAAAAAAGGAAAGAGTAAAGAAGACTAAGACGAGGAAAGAGAAGATACATGGGAGGAGGAAGAAGAAGAAAAGAAGAGGAGGAATGGGAAGAATAAGAGCAGAAAAGGACAACAAACTAAAATACTATAAAAAAAATAAGGCACTATAAAAAGTAAAGAAGCAATATAGGACATTTAAGGACAATAAAGAACACCTCCTAGTCACATCCATGTATTTCATTTCCTTTGCTATTGTTATTGAATCTTGACGACACGAGAAAAGGCTCAGATATTCCTAAGTTTTTGAGCACTTCAATTTACAAAGTGCACACATGTTTTGAGGCCAACCTCTAGTTATTGAAGTATCACTATATGACTATAATGTTGTTCATGTGAATCATGTCACAATTCATTATGGGAACTATCACGAATAAATAGCTAAACGTAAAGGACTCCAATGAACTCTAAATGAAAGAAAACCACAAGGGAGCCGAATCAAAAAAATACCATCTCTCTCTTGGGAAAAAGTCTGCCAACCGAAGCATCTTGGTGGGCTTGGGATTTAGATCCTAAGGCAACAGAACACGGCTCTACTTAAAAAATGATGGTCGCCACTTGCTACGTAGAACAACTTGCTCTGATCCCAAGTCATTCGCTGCAAATACATAATCCCCTCTAACACCTAACTACCAGAAGGGAACACCGAGAAAGGGCTTCAGGGGCCTGGAAGTCTTTCATGTCTTCTATGTCCCTCTTCCATAATAACATATGCTTCCACCCTAGGGGGGTGAGAGAATTCGATTCTAGTCTAACCTCTGGGTGGGTCACACCCCCCTAAGGGATAGGTATCCATCTCTCTTTAACTTAACTACCAACAAGTCTTCCTCGATTACCGATGACATGACCATCTCCGATAACTGTAGGGTCTTCTTTCAAACGCTCCCTCTTAAATACTGAAACATCTGACATTCTATCTTTGTCCTCTTTACTGCACTCTACCTTCCTCGCCCTATCTGGTGCCGATAGCCTGGTGTGGACCCCTTCCCCGTCCGATTCTTTCTTGGTTGCCTCCGTCTACAAAAAACTCTTGCAACCCCCACCTTTCCCCATTCTCCGACCTTTCTTGTATCTCAGTGTGGTCTCCGATCGCTCCACCAAAAGTGCACACTTTCAACTGGATAGCGTGCTCTGAAAAAGCTCTCACAATGGACCAACTCCAATGGAGCGGAATTCCCATTCCAAATCGCTACGTCATGGGCCTCTACAAAGAAGAGAGAAACCCCCCACCTTTTCATACATTGCAACCTAGCCCTCAACCTGTGGACTAGAATCCTTCGCCTTTTTCGATCTTTCCTGGGTAACTCCTGCTTCCCTACCAGCCCTCCTCAAATTCTCGTTGGACTCTCCTTGGCCAAAGGCAAGCAGGCTCTTGTGGCGGGCCTCCATAGCCGCAACGATTTGGGTCATATGGATCGAGAGAAATTTCAAGGATCTTCCGAGGAATCAAATGTGAAGCTCTAGCACTTTTCCACAAAATTACCTCCCATGTCATTTTCTGGGCCTCTAACCACAAGGAATTCAAAGGCATCTCAACTTCAACTTTCCTGCAAAATCGGGAAGAAATTATCCACTTCCGTCCCCCTCGAGTATCTCAAGCGAACAACTGGTCCCTCCCAATGGCGCGCCTTACAAAACCCAATTTTGATGGGTGTTCTCTACATAACCCAGGACCAGCAAGAGTGGGTGCGGTCGTCAGAGACTACCACGGTAATATCCTGGCCTCTTTTTCCTTGATCATTGGCCACGCCGACTCCCAGCTCTCGAAGTCTATTGCACTCCTTTCGAGACTCAAATTGTTCGACCATGTGTGGGGTCAACCACTAATTGTTGAAGGAGACGCCAAAAATATTATGACATGGGCTGCCGGACTTGCTCCTCCCCCTGGCATCTTGCTTCGATTTATGATGAGATAATACAATTTTGCAGGGATATAGCCATCTCATGGAGGCATACTTGGAGGACGCAAACGCCTTGGCGGACCAACTGGCTAAGGACGGCACACACTCAAGCTCATGAGAGACTGAAGTTTTTGGATCATTGTCGTCTTTCGAGAATCGCAGGATGTTTTGGACTATCGGGATCATCAGCCTCTTTTTGTAAATCCTCTGTAAAGGGCATTACTTATAAGCCCCACCCATTTTTTGTACAAGGTCCCCTCTTGGGGAGCCTAATATTTTTTGCTACGAGTCCCGACTTGTGGTTGTCTTGACGGACCACGGTATTTCCTTACTTTTTTCAATACAACAGTTAACAGCATCAAAGAAAATCACAGTTCTGAATTCATTACACAGAACAGTATCTCATTAGCTATGCTTCATGGCATCATCAAGACATGTCTCTGGGTAAGAGAAATCACAATTCCAGGACAGGGGAACCATGTACTATCTTATAGGAACCATGACTCCAAGAAACATCTAGTTCGAAAGTACCTCCCAGATCTGGAGGGATCATGAAGCAGAGAACACTCCCCCATATTCCCCCAAGAATCAGCAAGCAAAACAATTCAGACTAATCCAATGAACAAGCCATCAACTGAGAAAAATTTCTAGCTCAGTCTAACCTAGATTGACAGGTCAAAATTGTTGGTGGAAGAGTTCAAAGAAATCAAGAAAAAATTGTTTTCCCAATCGGTCTAATGAGCAAATAAAACAATTTGTCCAATCCAGACATGAAACTCAAGTTATAGCAACATCATGTTTTCTTTTTTTTTCTCAAGGTCATGAGGAAGCCAGGTCAGAAGGCAGTTTCATTCTTGTTTACACCTATCAAACCAG